GCTGCCATGTGGGTGCTGGGATTTGAACCCGGGTCTTCTGCAAGAACAGCCAGTGTTCTTAACCACTGAGCCATCTCTCCAGCCACCCCCCCCAAATATTTTTTTTTTTGGAGACAGAGTCTCATGTAGCCCAGGTAGCTATGTATGACCTTGAATTTCTAATATCCTGCTTCAATCTCCCACACCCTGTTTATGTTGTGCTGGGAACTGAACCCATTCCCTCATGAACTCTTGGCAAGCATTCTACAAACTGAGCTACACCTTCACAGCCCACTTCCTTAGTACTAGGATCATATCCTATCTGCTGGATCTTTCCTAGACCTTAGGAATATTGGTTTGTCACTTCCAGTCCTGTTTTTTCCACAATAATAGACAAGATGGCACCATACCATAATGGTGAGGAGGCTGAAGAAAAAGCTGGCCAGGAAAATGGTGATAACCATAAAAATGAAGCGTGCTGCAGACAGAAGTGTTGATGGAAGGCAGGAGTTCAATCATGGCTGATGGTGGTGAGTGCATTAAGGTACATCTGGGAAGAGAATCAATGGAGAGGAGGCCACCACAGGCAAAAGACAAAAAGTGAGTATGTTAACTATGCTATCATTTTTCTGACCCTTGTCTAGAACTATCACATCTTGTTGCTTCTCACAGACACATTATCTTGTAGTCGCTTTGTCCTGTCCTTTTCCTTGTGCATTTTTAGCTTTGATTACATTTTGATCCATAACCCATTTCTAAAACAAGCATTTTTTTTTTGAGACTTTTGTCTCTTAAATCCCAGGCTGGTCTCAAACTCACTAAGTAGTTCAGGATGACCTTGAAGTTCTAATCTGCCTTTACCTCCCAGGTGCTAGGATTATGGGTATGCACCACCATGTCCAGTTTATGCAAATGCTGGGAGTCAATACTAAGGCTTTGTGCATGTTAGGCAAGCATTCTACCAACTGAGCTACATCCACAGGTAAAACAAATATCTCAACTAGAAGATATGTAGAAAGCTTTTTTCTTTTTACTCAGCTCAACTATAGAAAAAATCAGATGAAAAATCAGAGTTGGTCCTTCCTTACCTGTGGCTCTGGCTAAAGTTGTGGAAACATTCATTGACATTGCCCAGACAGAATACAGGTGTCATTAATAGTACAGGTATCAGGCTGAAAGGAAAAGATTTATTGTCCTAATAATCTAGAATTTTTCATGCCCTTCCCCCTTTTCTTTTCTCCTCAACTATATTACCTTATCAATAACACACACACACACACACACACACACACACACACACACACAAAGAAAAACATCTTGAATACTATGACTACCCTTAGTTTCCATTTCCTAAAGAACTGCAGTGGGAAGTGGATTTTGTATCTTCTACCTGGAGCTCTTAACAGAATTTCTTGAGAATCTTTGGTATTATGGTCAGATGAAAATCTGAGTGGAGGTCAGCAGACTTGGGAGATGACTCACTCAGTACAGTGCTTGCTACAAAAGCATTTGGACCTGAGTTTTGCATGAATGGACCACCATTCATGCAAAAGCAAGGTGTGGCAGTGTGTCTGTAACCCTAGGGTTAGGGGGAAGGATGGTGAAAACAGCTGGATCCTGGAGCTCACTGGCCATCCAGCTTAGCCAATTGGTGAACTGCAAGTTCACTGAGAGACAATGATTCAAAAAATAAGGTGCAGAATGATAGCAAAAGACCCAACACCTATGGCCTCCATGTGCACACACCCTACATGATGTCCAGATGTCCACATACAAACTCTCTCTCTCTCTCTCTCTCTCTCTCTCTCTCTCTCTCTCTCTCTCTCTCTCTCAGCCATGAATTTACAATGAGACAACCCA